TCAAAGGAGTTCAACTTGCTGGCGGGTAACAAAGTTTAGTCAAACATATGGTTTGTAAAAAACACCAATAAAAATATTTTTAACTATTTTTAAATAAAATTTTTGCTGAGGGATAAAAAATCGCTGTTTACTTTTCACCTCCTACCCACGAAAAAAAATCTTACTGAATTAAATAAATTAAATAAATAATTAATACTGAATTTATACGTTAAATAAAATGTAAAATAACTTTTAAAGTTGGTAAAAAAAACTAAACTTATTACTTATAAAAATGAATATTTATTACTGTGAGATAAATGCGCTTAAATTAAATAAAAGCTATTATGAATAATTGTTGCCATGGTAACCGTTGTTACTGTCTGACAAATATATAATATTATATTCTTTTCGTATATGATATTCTATAAGTATATAATATAAAAATGTAAAATACCTAATATGCCTTATTTAATTATTGATTTGCTTTTAATTTAATTGCGATATTTGCCAAAGGAGTTTCACTTCTTACGTGAGTGAATTGCAAACACACACACTTAAAAATTTTTTTTAGAGTTTTGAATCTCTTTTGCGCGGTGATTTCCCCACCTAAAGTCGACCATCCCGCTGAATTAGAATCTCGAAATTCAAACGATACAATATAGCCTAGTTAAAAATATTTTAATCAAAATGTGCGAAATGATAAGTAAGTAGGTAAGTATAAGGCTGTTCCTAATCGTACGATAAAATCAATGCCATACTGCGACTTTATAAAAATTTCCAATATATACTATATTGCTAAAATTAAAAATATAATATTTTTATTAGCACAAATAATAGGCACTTAGAGATATTATTTAATACACAGAAACCCTTATATCTCTATGTGTAACAAAATTATAAGAAAGCGAAATCAGTACGTAAACTATTTTTAACGACAATGACTGCGTGGGCGCGTGCGTGTGTGTGTGTGTGTGTGTTGTATGCAGATTATAAATCCTAAAACATTAGTTGTTGAGTTTGTCTATTTATCTGTTCGGTTTTCACGCAAAAAGAAAAAGTACAGAACGGGTTTAAACTAAATTCCGTGCAGTAATAACTTATTACTCGGGTCAACATTTAGGCTACATTTTTCTATAGAAAAAACTGTAATTCCTACGGAAAAACAATAACTGGTGATACCAATTACCATGTTAAAATTAACATATTGTACAATTTTGACACGGTTTTCACTAATAAAAAGGGCACTAAATCAGGATTGTTGGTGTAAATGATTAATTTTTATATATTTTGTACAAAATAGCTAAAACATGACGGTATTTTGTTAAAAAAACTGTTTTCGTACGTCTACATGGTTAAAGTTGGCAAATATTAAAAGATATGTATATCAAAACAATGTTCTGGAAAATTTTAGTTCTTAAAAATACCCATGGAAAAGTCCACTGGGGCATTGCTTATCTCCTTTGGTACTCATAAAAACTATTTGTATCTATTAGCCTAAGCCACAAGTGACCTAACGCGGCAATTGGTATAATAATAAAGATTTATAATATTAACATCTAATTACTATGGATTAATTTTATGTATTTATTTATGTACCATAAAATATATGTTATACAAAATAAAATAACAAAATATTGACAAAGGATAACTTATCTCTTTAAGAGATTTCTTCCAGAAACCCTTTTATTTTTAAGATTATATATTGATCTGAAATTGATACTTATTATTATTATTATTATTTAAAAGTATCTAGGGACGCACAATCGAGAAAATTAAAATCTTCATTTATTTCTTTGTAGAAAATCCCAATAAGTGTTCCTGGGCCTTCCCGGGACTTGAACCAAGGGCCTGATAATCTGCAGCCACGCAAGCTAGCCATTAAATATTAACCAAAATATATACCGTACCGTAATCTGAGTTATTTATATGATCTTTATATATTCAATACATTTCTTATATTTCCCTTATATTCCCATAAGGCAATAAATATTTTAATATTTTAACGAAATGCGTCTAAGCATCAAATTTCAATATCTCGGGATACTCAGCTATATTTTTAATCAGTAAGATAAGATCATCCTGTTACGTGGTCGTCTTTTAAATCCTTTAGCCAAATGGCTAAAACGGATCCCTTATAATTTCGTCACGTCCGTCAGTATGTCACAGACATTTTACTCGTATATAGAACTAGCATTGCCCGCGGCTCCGCCCGCGTTCAGATGACCAAAAACCAAATTCTTAGGTTTTACATATTAGTATACTCTTACATTGCAGTTTTTGTATTTATTCTCAGAAATGAGAAATTTTAATTTTAATAAAAAAAAATGCCGCGGTAAAAGGTATCCTATATGTTAACCCGGATAACCAACTATCACCATACCAATTTTCATTAAAATTCCTCCATTGGTTTTTCTGTGATGCAGTAACAGACAGACAGACAGACAGACAAAAAATCTAAAAACTATAGATTCGGCCTCTGTATCGATAATAATGTTTATTTCAATAAGATTTTCCAAAAAAATATTTAATGTACAGATTCGGCTTAGTTACAATTTTATTATATGTATAGACATATTTTTTTGAAATAATAATTTTTATATGGAACTTACATAATAAAAAAGGTGCTTCATTTCTGTTTGGTAGATAAAGTAGATACCTCATGTTAACCACTAGACAATTTTATAATCGAATTCCAAAAAATAAAAAAATAGTAATAAAGCAAAGAAATAAAATAAACAGAATATCGTAGAAAGATCGTTATATTTTACTTTTAACATAACAAATTTGTATTATTACACCACGATTTTTTTTATTAATGATTAATAACAAGCTGAAACTTCATGAGCATAACATAAATTATAATTTTTGAATATCATAAATATATATGTAGAGTAATATAATATATGTAAAATAATTATCGGACAATAGTAATCTCGTATTTCTTTCTCAATTTATTTTCTGAAGAAAAAAAAACAAAGTTAGCTTGTCATTATCACCGTGCGGGAGACAGTATCCGAGCGTAGGACTGAGAAATCCTACCATTTTATTTGTAGGACGATAATATGGCTATTCAATTATGCATATTTTTAATAATAAATATTAATAAAATAATATTAAAAAAAAATTATGAAATTTTTATTTTAACAAGTTCGAAGAGGGGGACGATTTAATCCAATCCATCTGTTGTGTAGGATAAGATTTTTTTTGTTTTATGTTGGATTATCTCAAGATTAAATTGTAAAACAAACTGTTAGCCTGTGTGTTATTGCAGACTATAATCTATCTCTGTGCCAAATTTTATCTAGATCCGTTCAGCCATTTTGACGTGAAAGAGTAACAAACATCCATACATACTCACAAACTTTCACATTTATAATATTTATACAGATTAAGCAAGGCGTGGTGTACTATTATAGACTAGTGTGCTAACATATAACAATAATTAAATTTGCACTACGAAACCCTCAGTCAAACTCGCAATTTTTTTTTTAATTTATTATAATAAATAAAAAAAACAGATAAGTAAATGCAATTGTAAATAATAAGTCGTGAATAATTAACTAATTAAAGTATACATAATTTTTTTAAGTAATTTAAATTATCATAAAATGATTTTTTATTACTGCTTTAATAATACATAAAATTAAACAATAAATAAGAATAATAAAATGTCGACTAAACATTTATAATTATTTTTGACCTAACACGACCTCGAACCCAGGATCTTCAACGAGGCAGTCAGTACATGTACACTTAGGCTACGAGTAATAAGAAATCCTTTATAAAATCTGACCATGTAACAATATTACGCTAATTGGCTTGTCAATTTCCCAAATAAAAGTTAACTAACAGCTTTAGCTGAGTAACTGTTAAATGTTTAATCTTGTTCCATGAAGCTTTTTTAGGATTTGTATCAGTCGAATTGAAGCTTGAAATTTTAATCCTCTTATATACATGAGATAGTTAGACTTATTGGATGCTGCTATAAATATCTCAAATCTATCTTAATAGTATGAAGAAATAGAGTTTGTTGATTAAACGCGCTAATCTCAGGAACTACTAATCCGATTTGAAAAATTCTTTTTGCATTAGATAGCTCGTTTATTGAGGAAGACTATTACTCAAGGGAGCGGAGATGTAATCATAAATGTCAACAAATCGGGCAGGCTTCCATACATTATTGTAAAGGAAAGGGAAAGAAGAGTGTGTTTTTTTGTACTTTGAACGCGCTCGAAGCCGCGTGTACTGCTAGTCATCAACAAGGATCAAAGTTGTCCAATAAATATCATATGTTTGGAAACAAAGTTTGCTTTGTCATAGAAGCCAAATCTTTACAGACAAGTATGTTTTCAATATACGAGTACGTGCAGAACAAATGGTCGATGGGGACGAATAATTTCCGACTACGTGCTCGTGCTTTGGGAGAATATCTGAGGGATCTCTGACTTATTGTTATCATTAATGATACAACACTAGCTAATGTAACTAAATTTACTTATAAGTATAGAGTTAAAAACCAGCTAAAAAACCAGTTAAAAGCCAGTTGGATACGCTGGCGTTTTTAACTGTATATAAGTAATCTGCACTATATAGGGGCTAGTGGCGAGAACGGGTGAAAGCTTTACCATACCATATACCAATAAAAGCCCAATAATGGAACTTTAAAATCTGAAAATTTAATATGTATACCTATTCGTTCCTATATATTCCAAATAAGAATCTATTATTGACAAATATGTATAATGAAACATAAATATTTATAAGTATGTATGATTCTATTATGGTACTACAGTTCCTGTAATTCTGAGTTCGAATCCGTGTTGGCTCAAGAGCAATTAAGGCAGTGGTAGCCCAGTGGAAACATGCTCGCTTAAGAACCGAGTGAAGCCGGTTCAAATCCCTGGTCTCACACCTCCGATATTTTCATGTGCGACCTTTTTATTTATTGAATGATCAAATTATTTTATATGAATATTACTTTAGAAAATATATTTTATAATATTAAATTTATATTTTTGCAGTCCGCTATCTATCGATCCCGATATTGGGGCTTTCTCCGGCAAAAGGGCTTATCCATGGGCTTAGCCATGTTTGGGCATGGCATGTCGATATCAAAATTGGCTAGCGAACTGATGTTTGAAGGCTATGAAGACCCGCTCTTGGACCTTGCAAAGAGTCTACCTGCTAGTACCACAGGTGGTGCACCGCCAGTAGACAGATTTGGATTGTTTTATGGGGCAAGTACAAATTATTTTAATACTTTCTTAGATTTACGCGAATACTTGACATTTTAAATAAAACTATCTTTTCGGATTTTTTCGCGAATTTAATTTGATTTTTGTTCCCGACGTTTCGAATGCTTCACAGCAATCATGGTCACGGGAGAGACTGACAAATTATTTTATTAGTCTTTAAGAATTTTATATATTTTCGCTTCTCCTGCTTGACGAGGGTTTTTTGGTTTGATGCCTGTGAAAGGTGAATGTATTTATTGTTTATTTTGATATTTTAACGGTCTTTTTAGGACTTTGTATTATACAAATCTAGACTTACAGCTTTTTATGATCATATACACAGTAGGACTAATTCAAAGGTATTGGTCGGCGCTCTTGCTGGGTCATACGGGTAGGGTAGGGTAGGGTTTGCGCGGAGAGTATATGATAACTTCGTAGACTGAATGGTGTATATTAAGCAAAAATAATATAAAGAGTGGTGTAAGCGAATCACCACTTCGCTCCTCACATCAATCATGGCTAACGTACATCTGTCCCCTATTATGTCATATTACTATGTCATATTACTTAAAAAGTCGGGCAAATAATATCAATATATTCTGATCAATTTAAATGATAATAAAAATGTGTTTGAAACTTTTATACAATATTTTGATATCTCCTGTTTGGAACGTGCTACGATTACACGTAATAATAATAATAATAATTAGTTTCTTGGGAGAGTCTCTCCCGTGACCATGATTGTTGTAAAGCATTCGAAACGTCGGGAACCAAAAATCCAAATAAATCCGCGAAAAAATCCGAAAAGATAGTTTTATTTAAAATGTCAAATATTCGCGTAAATCTAAGAAAGTATTATACTTATTTTAGTTATAATCTGTACATATACAATGTCAAGTTATAGATCAATTTTCATCATTCCATTTTATTTTTCAAAAAATCTTCCGTCACAATTAAATATGTAAGTATTGATTTTCGTTGAACCTTTTTGGTTAAAAAATTATGGATTTAAATAATACTAGCACAACAAAAAAACTCTAAATAAGTTTCATACAAGCTTTCTTCCCCTATTTTACCCTTATGGGATGAATTTCGAAAAATGCTAAAACTCGTTTCTATTTAATTGTATTGAAGAGCATTAATACCAAGTTTCAAGTAATTCTAATCATAAATAATTTTTAGGGTTGTATTATAACGTGTTTTCCCGTGGAAATGAAAAAATATCCCGCGGTAAAAAATAACCATGTCACTCTCCAGCCCTCCAACAAATATCCACACAAAAAATCACGCAAATCCGTCACTCCGCTTCAACGTGAAAGAAGGACAAACAAACAAACACACTTTCACATTTATAATATTATATTATATGGATACATTTACATTTATATTATATGTATATCATTGAAGAAATTAAATTTGATGACGTTTTGTGGTTAGAATATCAGTATATAAAGAAATTCTATTGATTGACGCAGTATCAAATGAGTAATGATAAAAAAAGATAAAAGGTTCACGAACTGCTGTTATTTTAGACAAAATTGGACAGATGCGAGTGTGACTCACATGCCAATGGTTCCGTGCTATTAAATATTATGTTGGTGTTTTTTTTTTTTTACTTGCGTTAGGTACGTTACGTATCCCCCCCAACGTGCGTTCACCTTGTCGTGGTGGGGGGGCTCAGTAGTGCCCGGCAACCCAACCGGGCGCGAAGCCAAGAAACGCACAGGGAGGTAGCCCACTTCGGTGGGCGGTGGGAGGTGGCCCTCTTCGGTGGGCGGTGTACCATGTGGGTTGCTCCTGGTACTTCTCTGATAGCAGAGTGGACCTTGGAGCAACCCCATGGTTGTGGTGGTCTGCTTCGGCAGACCTGCCGTCGGGGCGTCGTAGTTGAATGCGTAAGCGATCCTGCGACGCCCCATTAAGACAGGGAAAGGTTTTGTTGGGTTTTAGTGGGTAGTACTGGCTTTATTACGCCGGTGAGTCCCACACCTCGTGCGTAAATGCATTTCCCAACGTTAAAAAAAAAAGGTACGTTACGTATCGATTAAACTAAAGTAAAATATTGACATTAGCACAATAATTTTATCGACTACAAATAAAAAGAATGATTAATATTTAAATGTAATCCTAATAGTATTTGAAATATTAACATATTTTAATTTTTTACAGAGAAATAATTCAATGGATACTGAGGGTTTAGTCGAAGTGACCACAGGAGAGCGTCGCGGCACATTACCGGGACAAATTCTGAGCTGGAACAATTACGAAAGCCTACCCTTCTACGAAGGAGACTGTGCAAAGGTAAAAAAAATATATTATACTAGCGACTCACCCTCACTTTACTTTGGTTCGTCCCTATGTTGATTCCCCATACAAACTTTCATCCCCCTTTTCAAGGGATGATTTCCGGGATAAAAACTATCCTATGTCATTCCCAGGGTCTCACATTATCTTCTTACCAAATTTCATCTTAATCGCTCCAGTAGTTTCAGAGCTTATCGGTACAAACAAACATACAAAAAAATCTTTCCTCTTTACAATATTAAGTATATAAAAATATACTTAATATATTAATAGTTAATAGATATAAAAACTATATTTATATTTGATGCAAAATGGGATACTTACTTTATTTCTTTCTTACTACTTACTTCTATGAATTATTATTGTTAACGGATATATACTTTTTGATAACGGGTTCCTATTTGCTATTACGGTGTTATCAACATTTTTATTGTAATGATATTTTGTTATTTAAACTTTGGAACAATCAAAGAAACATTAGGCGATAATACACAGAATAATGTAGTGGATAAAAAATTACAATGTTTAAGAATAAAATGACTATTTTTTGAAAAAACCTTTAAATACAATATATTTCTATGTAATATTTATGAAATTTGGATCGGATTCCACCTTAATTGTTGTTATGTTGTACAGATATTTAACTAAATTTAAGCCTCTACGCTAATTGGTATTATTTAAGAACGTTATAATTTTTTAAACAAAATTCTAAGGTAATAAGTTTAATTAAAGTTTTATCACAATACTGTTTGTGTCACTTTGTCTTTAGATTATTATAAATAAATATGTATATTTTAAAGATTACAGGCAGTGCCGGAGAGTTTATGCCTCATAATCTAACAGAGCATGAACCATTGACGATATTTATGGCAGATTTATGTCGCACCGTCAACCTTGAGTTTGAAGAAAGCGGTGAATTTGATGGATTGCCTTACAATAAATACGTTATGAACGACAAGAGCTTCGATAATTGTAAGTACATATATAATTTACTATCTATACAAGATCTATGAGTATTAGTAGTATTTATTTTGCTCGTGTTCATATACACAAACACACACACACACGCCCAGAAATATTTTTCATCCGATTAGCTATCTCAGGAGGGCCACGCTTATCGCATAGCATGACTCTATTATCGCTTAAGTAAGATAGTAGAGTCAAGGTATAGCTAGTTCGTTCGTCGTTTAGGCAGTACATGAGCTTAGTATTGGCTATAGAGTCATTTGTTACATTTGTATTACAAATACTGTTGGAAATGCATACGTAAATATGTTATTTTACACGGTAACGGGTGCGTCCTTGGTACGCGTAGTACTACGCGGTAGGTACAGCATAGCAGCCTTTATGTTAGCCCAGGTTTTTTATCATACCAAATGTCTAGGCATTTCAGCATTAATGAGTAACAGATATACATATTACACATATACACACATACAAAATTTCACATTTTGAATAAAGTCCGATATCAATAATATCATTATTTATATAAAAAATAAACTAAACCAGTCAGTACAGCTGCACTGATAATATTTGAAGAAAAAAATAGATAACACATCATTAATGCTCCTCTACAGAATACTTAATTAAAATATATTTGTTGTTGGTACATAAATATATGTATGTATCAACGTATGTTTGTATGTTTATTTTGTGTATTTTTTTCACTTTTATATTATTTAAGTGTTACTTATAAAAGCTTAAAAAATTATCCCTAACATTTGCAGTTTTCGTTTTGTTAAATATATTTTCATGGTATATAAATAAACAAAATAGATGATAAGATTACAAATACCTTAGTAAATATAATATATTAACACTATAACTTGCTTCGAAACTCCACTTGGAATAAAGCGACATACTCGTAGGGCAGTTAGGACAAGACCGTTGGACGACAACAATACCTTAATGTATTGCAAGAATGTGAAGTTATCAAACATGACACTTAAACAAGCTGTTTGGTCAACAACTAGCATTAAACTCCGTTAGATTAGAAAAAGATTGGTACCTTCTAGATGTGAAGCCCAAATACCATAATAAGTCTAGATTATCCAATAACTATTTTGTAATCTTCTGTTTCGCAGCGACTCGAACACTTGACAACACCTGCTTTTGCAATGGAGAGTGTATGTGGAGTGGACTGATGAACGTATCAGCCTGTAGATACGGGAGTCCCTCATTCCTCTCTCTTCCTCACTTCTTGTATGGAGATCCGGCGCTAAGGGAAAAGGTCCATGGATTGGACCCCAATCCGGATTTACATTCATTCTACTTTGCTGTGGAACCTGTAAGTTTTTTTTTATTTGTGGACCTTATGACAAATTCCGGCCACGGCGGCCATTTTTACTAAGACTAGCTATATATATGCCCAAGAGATATTATAATGCATAAGTGCACTCTCTTTCTGACACTCTCAAATTCCATGGGACGATTATTTGACACGATGGGTGAGAGATCAGACGCAGTACTGACGGATTTACATGCTACTTTCCGAAGCACGGGGGTGAAACACCGCCAACTTCCCAACTCTGGGATATTATTGAAACTTTCTTAAAGAAATACTTAATAACTTAATGTGTATAATTTAATTCATCTTTGTTTTTGCAGAGGTTGGGAGTGCCCTTAGACGTAGCAGGAAGGTTTCAGTACAACGTGTACATAGAGCCGACTCCTAATATAGCGTGAGTGTGGTGCTATTTATTACTAGTTTCTTTTATTAAAAGGCTATATTTTTGAAAATAATTCTGGGGCTACACAAAGCTTAACATTTAAAGCTCGTCCATTTAGCGTTTAATGGCGATAAATTCGCGTTATTTTTTAAAAATTTGTTTTTTAATAATGATTCGTATTTAGAAGGAGCTAATATGTATTATTTTATGTGTATAAATTATTAATATGGTTATTAAAAATTAAAAATAATTAACTTTTACACGGCCCAATACTCGCTAATATGGCCCTAGTATAAGGTATAAGATGGTATAAGAGATGTTAAATGGGAGTTACATGATAAAAAGGTGCAATGACTCGAAATAAAATCAGTTAAGATCACAGTGCAATGAAAATTAAAACTTTATCTTTATATTAATAAAATAAGGTTATAAGAGCATGCAGATAGAAAAGTAACATGTTATATATTATTCCATATATTAATTATATATTATTATCTATCTATACATGCATATAATAAAATTGTAACAAAGCCGAATCTGTACATTAAATATTCTTTGAAAAATCTTATTGAAATAGACATTGTAGTTTTTAGATTTTTTGTCTGTCTGTCTGCCTGTTACCGCATCACGGAAAGTCACTGGAGGGATTTTGATAAAAGTATGATGATAGCTGGTCATCCGGGTCAACATACAGGATACTTTTTACTCTGGGAAAATATCTCATCTCTGAGAAATCTATATTAAACGTCAAAACGTAAGCAGGGACCAACCCGAGCGAGAGCGAGTCGCTAGTCTATAATAAAAACATATAGGCGTTGAAAACATTAATTAATTAATAATTTTATTTTCAGTCTCTATGAAAACGTGCCACATATGATGTTTCCCATATTCTGGGTAGAGCAAAGGGTCAAAGTTAGTGACGAAGTGATATCAGAGCTAAAGACAGTGCGTTCTATACTGGAATGGGGCGGTATCGTATGCGCCTGCGCAGCCTTGATTTTTGCAAGTGCTATCATTGTTACTTGTTTCGCAAAGAAATCTCAGTACTCGAAACCAGAGGAAATCATAACAGAAAAACCCAAAGACGAAGCAGAAATGAAACTAAATCCTTAACCTAATTTTAGGATTTAATCAAAACTTGATATTTAAATTGTAAATTATTTGTATTTGTATTGTTAATTATAGAGTAATTTAAATTTTTATAAGTAGTCTAGTCAATTTGATGATTTGTAAGATGAAATACTACTATATTAGGCAAATCAACCGAATCGATGGATATTAGCTCAAATAAATTGTTATTAATTGATACCTTAAGAATATTGATTGAAAAAAATGATTATTTAGATATGGAATTGTCAAAATGGTTTTAATACTAATATCTATTTAATATGGTTTTGAAATATTTCAACTGCGATTATTGACTCTTATGTCAAATAGAGTAACAGGTGTTTGCTTAACACTCATAAGAGAGGATGTCAATTTTTTGTGGATAAAAATATTTTCGTCCGGAAGATAGTGCTAATAACATTATATATTATGACTTTTATACGTTTTATTCGTGAAGGTTTGTCGTTCATCTTTCTAATTGTTGGTTTTATATTTAAAAGTATTCTATAAGTCCAATGTACAAGTTAAAATTATCTTCATTTTTTCTGTGTGATGTAAATTTTCTTACTACCAACTCCAGTAAGGAGTTTGGATGACGCTTATTTTGGGGTTCTGTAGGCAAAATGCTAAAACGGAATTTCATCATGCTCAGTGACTGTTGGTATTATATACCGGAAGTAAGTTAGAAGTTAGGTAGGTCTTATGTAAAGCACTTGGCAATTGAGTCAGTAGTAGTCCAGTGAAGGCATTGGTAGACCAGTGGTAACGCGCTTGCTTTTGCTGTCGAATGAATCGGGTTTATATCTCTCGCAACTGTTATATTTTCAAGTGCGAATCTTTTCCAACATGATTACTACTTGTCTTACGGTGAAGGAAAACATCGTGAGGAAACCTGTATGTCTGATAGAATTTAGCAAGTTTTCTAAAGACGTGAAGTCCTTCCGCACGTGGCCAACGTGGTGGACTATGGCCTGATCCCCTTCATATTGGAGGCCCTTGTCCTGTAATGGAACGTTAAAAAGGGCTGAAAACAATCGTGGAGTTAAATTGGACCCAGTTATGTAAAAAACAGCCATGTGCGTAAAAGTACCAACAAAGTTATAAGCATTTTATTATAAAAAATAACATAATTATAAAAAATAAACAACACTTATATAAATATTGTTCAATTTTAAAATAACCAGAAAAACAAAACATAACCCAAGTGCAACTATCGACAGAAAAATGCTTACAACTCTGTTGGTACTTTTACCCACATGGCTGTTTTTACATAACTGGGTCCAATTATGAAAGGAAAAATAGGTGGGGGTTGAAATTAGGTATAAGCCTATGGGATATTTTTGGAAATTTTATAAATGAGATAGATATTTCTAAATGACTTTGTTTTATTTAATTTTGATTATTTTGATTCTTGAATTATAAGCAATTTATGCGTAAAAAAATTTGACCCCTGTCCTCTCATTTTTAATATATGGGGTAGAAAATTCAAAATCGAGGTAGCACAGCTTTAAAATACATTCAACAAAATTCACTTTTGAGAAGATACGATAAGCAGTTTTTCAGGAAATCTTCAGTTACCTGTTTTTGTTTGTTTTTAAGTATCTTTAGGAAATACAATGAAATTAAAACTCATTTTTGCAATCGATAATATGAAAAATGAAAGTAATATTTTATTTATATTTTAACAAATTATGTATAGAAATCATAGCACAAATACAATAATAACGTTTGATGGAACAAAAACCTGGGCGCGCGAGTTAGAAACGCGCTTGTCCATTTTTTATTAATAATTATGCCTAAATTGAAATGTTTTAAACATCATCAATGGAATAAAATCATGATATTCTATCGATTACTTCATTTTGAGGTTTTATTGATAAGGAATACATATTATATTAAGAAAATTATATGAAAAGCTTATATTTTATATTAAGTATTTTCTTTCTTTAATCTATTGCTTTCAGAGAGTTAAGTATTTTTACCATTGTGAATGTTTATGCCTTAAAAGATTTTGATAGTTGATATATTAGGAAACATGACAACATAGATGTAAAATTGTAAATAAATTAATTACTAATAAAATAGTGTGGGTTCTATGCTGATATGAATGGTTTAATATGACATTTTAGATTTATAATATAAAATTTGGTGCCTTCAAAAGCAAATAAAACCGGTCTTACGCCTGATCTCTTTCTGGAATCAAAGCAGACCTATCGGAGTTTACTAATGAGGGAATAGAGGAAGGGAATGCTTGCGCTTATATTTATGGCATATGAGTAAAAAAAAACGTCTTTGCGTTATGCACGCACGTAAGAAGTTATACGTCTTTGGCGTAACAGAACAAAAATAGCTAAAGATTTCATACCGTATGTCACAACTGTCTGTTTGTAAAAGGAATGCAGCTAGCTTCATCATGTCGCTTTTTGGCTGTCGGTGTGCGTGCGCATCGTAAAAATTTTGCTCTTATATTTTTTTCCAAACGTCCCAAAAGAAGTATAACTTCAAAAAATATTCTTACAGAGATAGCTTCTTTTGAGTATGACGCGGTCGGCCAAAGATTGTCAACAGTCGAGTCGGAACAACCGTTTTGACAACGGACAGCGCATACGTGAACTTGTTCTTGTATGAAGCATTACTTCTGTAGCAATACTTACTTTTGTGTTTATGCAATATAATATACTCGTATATGTATATGACAACTCCCAGTGAAATTGGCCGTGACCGAAAAACGGTTAATGCCTAATATTATAAATTATAGGGACAAAAGGCATTCCAATAATGTGTTAAACTGTATCCAGTTTCTTATATTAGGTTTAAATAGTATTGTAACGATAGTTAGATATAACAATTATTATAAAATAATAATATGCGTCATTACATTTACGGCTTCATTAAACCACCAATGTTGTAAATTTTAAAGATCTTCCTGTTAGTTAAGTTTTAATATATGTATTTTTGTATTTAAATATGACTTTTATACTTATTACTTATATAAAACAACTTAAAATTAGCTTTGTCTCTTATATTAGAGACATATAATATAATTATGTAACTTTACGCCACCAAGCAGAAAATATACCAAGCAGAAATCGAACTCATGATCTCGGTACATAGTGGTACCTACGGGATGTATCGTAGCATTTCATTTAGTCATTTTATACCTACTGAATATTGTAAGACAGTTTTGCTCTCGTACATTGAAGCTTTGAACGGCAGCTATTTAAGTAAGTTACTAAATAAGGCACAGCACGTGAAAGGTTTTGGAAAAAAATTAACTTTGAATTTTTCAGAGTGTGCCAAAAATCATAAGATATATTTTCTGTACTTTTTAATTAAACATAATGAAATAGCTTTATTTAAGATTATTATAAATCTAAAATAAATATTAATTATCATATTCAATTGGTATAAAATTCTTATGTAAATGCTACTCGCCTTTTTTTATATTTATAGGCTTTTAAGTTTTAGGTATAAAGAAATGAAAGAAAAATTGAATGCTAAAATATCTCTATTTACAGTGTTTAAATTATTATTTTTTACAATAATAAAGCCTAGTTTATTTTATATTTGTGACATTTTGCATAGGTATTTGTAACAACTTAGTTGTTTTTTTTTTTTTAATTTTTTAATGAATATGAGAAGTATCTAGAATACATAAGCAAAAACCAACAATAATGATGATATTTTTTAAATAAGCAAAATGTTGCTATCATTTTGGTGCTTAGTTAATATATGAATATGGTTATGATTTAACATATTTTTATAAAATGTAAAATTTTTAACTTCCTTAAAAATAACGATATACTATAAAAAAATAATTTTTAAGTATACAAACAAGTTTTTGTGAATGTTTCAAACAGAATATTGTATCGATATCGAATACTTACATATTTTGGAAAAAAATATTTTTAATGAAATGTTTACAATTGGTTTCATTATTTGTTGATTTGTACATTAAGCATATTTTATTATAATTTATATTTAGATTATAAAAAGTTATTTGTTAACATCAAATAAATTGTTACTTTTCATTAATAACCTTATGAGATTTAAACTTATAAGTTATAACATATGTAGGATCTATTAAAAAAATATTGTATCCCTACTCAATTAATATTAAGTGTTTTAATCGTAAAATTACAATTTTTTGTGAAGCGCCTGATTAAATTATCAGAGCTATATTTATATTTCGTATATTTGCTTTTTTATATTCAAGGGAATTGATGGAAATATTTGGATATACGACAGTGAATTAAAATAAACATTTGTATTAATATTCGATTTTATTACTGCCTATACCCATCTAATTTCAACGTTTTATATAAGCCTTATCAAGAAACTCCTAGAAATGTTCTTATTGCTTGTATTGACGTCCTTTCTATTTCCTATCTCCTGTGACCTAGCCTTCATAGTGTAAGAGCCCGGAGGTTCTTTTTCTATATACATAATACTATTGTAATATAACACAGTAAAGATTTTTTTAAACCAGATAATATATCAATATTAAAGTAAATGAAATATTCTGTCACCTAAATGCATCGTCCTTTTTTAGTATAAACATGGGACAATAATTGACAAAAACACACATGCTTACATCGTTTTGGTCTTAGAGTTAAAAGGTAATATAAATAAGGTTCTGAATAAGAATTGGTATAATTAATACACATTTTCGAAATACATTTGTACAATTTAACACGTTCACTGCGTCATCATTTTGAAAGAACTTTCAGCTGGTGCTTTGGAGACCTAAAAGATCTCGAAACTAGCCTACCCTTTGGTGCGTTAGAGACCTAATCAGTCTCCTAAAAATACAGTTTTGAAAATAATTTATATCTTCCAAAAAACTAATGACATATATTTTAAAGTTTTTGTGGGTCAAGAGAGCCTATTGCTCTACATTTTGCTAGGTTCGCACGCAGTTATGACATTAGAATAAGCTACAAATACCAAAAAAAAATTAGATATCGATTGTATCTCGTACCGCAACCGAAGATAGTTCAATA